ACCTCAGCGATCTAATATAGCACAGGTTATCTAACTAAACACGTTCTTACAACAATTGAAACCTATGAATAGCGAGCTGGTTGCGACCGATACCACCGCAATTGTGTCTTGACAGCGCTGGCGTTCACTGATTGGCCCTCCCTGCACCGTCTTCCTCAAAATCGTGAGGCATCCTGGTGCCTCCTGAGACGTCCTGGTGCCTCCTGGGACCACCTGGGCCCCCCCTGGGATTTCCTGGACCTGCCTGATTCTCTTTGTATTTTTCAAGGCTATCCGCCGCGCGGTGAGGAACGCATCGCAGAACAGAGGGATGACGCTGAGGAGACGGACGATGAGGATGAGGAAGAGGAGGATGAGGATGATGAGGAGCAGCAGCAGGACGAGGAGGAGAACATGCAGTGGAGGAGCAGAGGAGGAGGAGGAGAAGGAGGAGGAGGAGGAGGAGGAGGAGGAGGCAGGAGGCAGGATGAGGAGGAGGAGAAGGAGGAGAATGAGGATTTGCAAAAGAAACTGAGTATGACCAGGACGATCAGGAGGAGGGGGCAGGAGGAGGAGGAGGAGGAGGAGGAGTGGGAGGATGAGGAGAGGGAGGAGGAGGATGAAGAGGAGGGGGAGGAGGAGGATGAGGAAGAGGAGGAGGAGGCGCGGAGGAGGAGGGGAGGAGGAGGAGGAGGAGGGACGTCAAGGCCTCATTGAAAGTCTGTGTTTTGGAGTGCGTTTTCCCCCTCCTCTCCTCCTCCTCCTCCTCCTCCTCCTCCCTCCTCCTCCTCCTCCTCCTCCTCCTCCTCCTCCTCTTCTTTTTCATCCTCTGCTGCGTCCAACGTCTCCTGCTCATCCCCCTCCTCCTAGTCCTCCTCCTCCTCCTCCTCCTCCTCCTCGTCCTTCTTGTCCCCCTCCCTCTCCCTCCTCCTCCTCCCCCCTCCTCCCTCCCCCTCCTCCTCCTCCTCCTCCTCCTCCTCCTCCTCCTCCTCCTCCTCCTCCTCCTCCTCCTGCCCCTTGAAGCGATGCCATTTTGGCTCAATCATACAATTACGTTGGCTCAAGCATTGCGTTTGGTGAGTTTACAACTCAACAGCCCAATATTAATTGCGCATGTACGAAAATGTGTCTGCAATCTACATTATGCCAGCATGCATCATTTTCGTAACTGCACCAGGTTACCGGGAACATCCCCTGATAACCACCAAACCACCGGATAACATTTCGTTATCGGTTGGACCTCTGGGCTCGGCAGCCCTGGCAGCGGCCGCGCGGGCGAAGGCCCCGGCGGCGGTCCTGGCGGCCCTGGCGGCGGCCCCCCCAGGGACGCGGGCGGCGGCCCCGGCGGCCCCGGCGACGGCCCCGGGGGCCCTGGCGGCGGCCCCCGCGACCGGGTGACACCAGGTGTCACCCCGGCGGGCGGCGGCGGCATCAGGTGTCACCCCATTCCGGCTGCTGCCAGCGGCCCCGGCGGAGGTCCAGGCGGCCCCGGCGGCGGCCCTCGCGGCGACGCCAACCTCCTCCATGGAGCCAGCTGCGCTCAGGATGCCGCGCCCCGTTCGGCAGTCCGCGAGCGCCCCCGCCTGGCTGGGCTGCCCGGCGGCGTGGAGGAGACTCGCGGCCGGCCGACGCACTCCCGGAGCGTCAACTGCCGCCTGGCCTCCGCAGCGTGGTGCGCTGCGGCCATATCGCGCCAATTCCTGCTGGGCGCGGCGCCGCCTTCCGCGGCGCTGCCAGAGCCCCGCCCTGGCGGCATCCCCGGCGGCACAGCAGCGGTTTCGGCGCTCGCCGGCGGCGGCGCGCCGGGGGCTGTGGCAACGCCAGCGCCAGCGGCTCCAGCGACGACGACTGGTGCAGCGGCGTGCTCAGAGGCGGCGGGAAACGCCGCGGCCTCCGCCGCACCGGCGGCAGGGGCCCCCGCACCGGCCCCACGCACAGCGGCAGCGACCAGCGCGCGGAGCTGCTCGACGAGCGCCGCGGCCTCGCCTCCGCCGCCGCCGGCGCCACCTCCGCGATGCTGCAACACCGAGGTGGCAGCCGCCAGCGTGTCGAAGGCCGCAGCGACCCCAGCCTCGGAGAGCTCTCCTGCTGGCGGCACGCGTGCAGGTCCCTCCGATTGCACCGCCATCAGCGCCGCATCGGCCAGGCGCAATGCCTCCTGCGCCTTCGCGGCCTCGGCCTCGAAGTGCGCCACGGCCCGGCGGGCCTCCGACAGGTCCCCGTTGATCGCCATCACCTTCGCCGCAGCTGCCTTCTGCGAGTCCGTCGCGGCTTGGACGCGGACTGCCCAATGCCGCGACGCCTGAGCAGCCTGCTCCGAGGCCTGGAGCTGGCGGTCGCACTCCGCCAGATCCGCCTCCGCGCCATAGCGCTGGGCCGACGCCCTGCGCTCTCGCCAGTAGCGGAGCTCCCGTTGCGCAGGGCTCAGCTCGGGCGCAGGCGAGCCCTGCTGCAAACCACCAGCCTGGGCCGGCGGCGTGGGGGCGTCGCCAGGCGCCGCCGGGCCGCCAGGCGAAGGCAGCCAGCTCTTCACCATGTCCGCGTACGAGGCCGCCCCAGCCGCCTCGCCACCTCCACGGCGTCGCTGGCGACGCGGCGCATCCTGCTCCGGCTCCATGGCGCGCGCCGGCGGCCGCCGCTTCGCCGCCGCCCGGGCAGCGTCCGCGATCCGCTGCGGCGCCGGCTTGCCGCAGCGCTGACAGCGCATGCGGCACGCCCAGTTGGCCGCGCGCCCGCATGGGCACCCCCAGCATGGCTCCCGTGGCCCTGGGAGCAATGCTGGACCCGCCCCGCCAGCAGGCTGCGGGCAGCGGCCGCCGCCGCCGCCTCCGCGAGAGCCCGGCATCCGGCAGCGGCCACGCGCGCGGATTACCCTGCGCGCGGGCCCGGGCGCCGGGCAGGGCGGACAAGCAACCAACAAGCAGCCTTGAGCCAAAATGGCTTGAGCCAAAATGATTACGGACTCACTTATCAATACACACCACTCACTATCACTACTGACTACTCCCCACTCCCTACTCCCTACTCCCTACTCGCCACTCACTACCCACCACTCACTACCCAATACTCACTACTCACTACACCCCAACTCACTATTCACTACTCACCACTCCCTACTCCCAATTCCGTACTCCCTACGCACCTTCTCAGGCGCAGAAAAGAAAAGCGAGAGAGGCCCCCCCTCCCCGGTTCTCTTTTTGGCGCCAAGGGGGAGGGGGGGGGAGGGGGTCCGCCCCCCCCCCTTTCCAGCGCCAAGGGCGGGGCGGGGGTCCGGACCCCCCCCCCTTTTAGGAGGGGGGGGAGGGGGGGGGGTCCGACCACCCCCCCCCCCCTTAAGGAGGGAAGGGGGGGGGGGTTCTGGACCCCCCCCCCTGAAGGGGGGGAGGGAGGGGGGGGTTCTGCAACCCCCCCTTTTAGTGTATTCAGGGAGATCCATTGGCGCACTTTCCAACTGCCGGCCACATAGGCGCTTCCCCAAAATGCAGAGGGGGCGGCGGTGATTCGCCGTAGGCGTCTTCGATACAAATACAAATATAATTCAGACAGCAGTGGAGCTGGGATGGTATGAGCCCATGATTAGGATGGACGATGGGAAGACGGGTACGAATGAAGGAGACCGACTGCGGCGCTGTCGCTGGGACCTGTCTTAGTATTCTTCATGGATATTCACCCCCTGCTCTACCCGATCAACGACAAACCGGCTATGTGGGCATTGTGCGCGGTTTGGGGAAAATCTCGCGCTTTGAACTTCCCGACGCTCGTAGAGGACCGCAAGGCCTTTACGACGGCCCCACGACGGCAGCTGCGACCTCCACGACGCCCACAGAGGCGCCCAAGATCAAATCCAAAAGAAAACCAACCAAAGGACCCGATCGGACACTCCGAGCCCTCGGCCGACCACAGGAGATCCCACCAGAACCTCCACAAGGCTGACACGAGGCCCCCACGGGACGGCATCTACTACACCCCCAAAGGGTCGGCGGTGCGGCGTGAGCCCGAGAATCAACTGATGGTTAGATGAACCTGAAGGAGATCGCCCGGAAACCCACCGACATCAGCCCGCAACCAAGAACCAGGAACCCCAGAACCGGGAACCCGAGAGCCCAAATGGCCACCAAAAGTCGGAAAGAAACTTTCGCCAAATCTTTCAACATCCGCTAGGACCCCTTCAGTGCAAGCATTGATTGGGGAACTACCAGGGCCTCCTCGGGGATCGTCTGACCCGGGTCAATCCAGACCCGGGTCAGCAAAAAAACAAAAACTGCAATGCAGGAAAACAACAACTGCAACGCAGGTCTTCGCAAACCCGGGTCAGCCAATATGTGCGGCCGCCTCGCGGCCACGAGGGGCTCGCTAACGCGGGTCAGCCAGAGGGGGTCTTCGCAGGATCCTGCAGGATCCGGTGCCGTGGCCGACCCCCGTTTGCACTGACCCCCGTCTCAAGGCTCCCGACCTCCAACCACACATCTTTCTCCGGCCTGCTTCGAGCCAGATCGCCCGGGGACGGCCCCCCGGGGGCCCGAAGCCCGGGGAACACGCCCGCTCGGGGGAGGGGGGGGCCTCGGCCCTCGATGCCTCCCCAGACATCCGACGCCGCGATTGCTTCCCAGCGTCGACCCCCAGAGGCCTCGACCCCCAGAGGCCTCGACCCCCCAAGAGGCTTCAGCCGCTTCTCCTCCCGAGTCGTTCCTTGACGGCCCCGAGGCCCTGCAAGGGCCCCTACGGAGGCCTATAACGCAGCGAGAAAGCCTGCCCTCGCGCTCTGCTCGCAACGCGAGGGGGCCTGGGCTTAAGTCGGGCCAGTCCCCCGACAGGGGGCTTCTCGACGAAACATAAATACAACATACGTCAAAAATAATCAAAAAATCATCCAAGAATAGTCCGGGGACTATTGTTTCAATAGTTTTTTACCTTTTTGGGGTATTTTTGGGGTATTTTTATTTTTCGTCGAAAATCCTCCTGTGGGGGGACAGGCCCGACTTAAGCCCGGGCCGGAGGTCGCCGCCGCCGCCGCCGACGGGCCTTCGGCTGCTCCGCATCCGAGCAGCTGCTCGGGGACGGGGGCCCCACGGGGGACGACAGCCCGCAGCGCCGCCTGGCGGCCCGCCCCCCCTCGCCGCGGCCCCACCGGCCACCTGCTCCTCCTCCTCCTCCTCCTCCTCCTCCTCCTCCTCCTCCTCCTCCTCCTCCTCCCTCCTCCTCCTCCTCCTCCTCCTCCTCCTCTCCTCTCTCCTCCTCCTCCTCTCCTCTCCTCCTCCTCCTCCTCCTGCTCCTCCCTCCTCCTCTCCTCCTCCATCCTCCTCCTTCCTCCTCCTCCTCCTCCTCCTCCTCCTCCTCCTCCTCCTCCTCCTCCTCCTCCTCCTCCTCCCTCCTCCTCCTCCTCCTCCTCCCCCTTCCCCTTCCCCTTCCCCTCTCCCTCCCCCTCCCCCAACCCCAACCCCTCCCCCTCGTCCTCCTCCTCCTGCTCCTCTCCTCCTCCTCCTCCTCCTCCTCCTCCTCCTCCTCCTCCTCCTCCTCCTCCGCCTCCGCCTCCGCCTCCGCCTCCGCCTCCTCCCACCTCCTCCTCCTCGTCCTCCTCCTCCTCCTCCCCCTCCCCCTGCTCCTCCTGCTCCTCCTGCTCCTCCTGCTCCTCCTCCTGCTCCTCCTCCTCTTCCCTCCTCCTCCTCCTCCTCCTCCTCCTCCTCCTCCTCCTCCTCCTCTCTCCTCCTCCTCTTTCCTCCACTTTCCTCCTCTTTCCTCCTCCTCCTCCTCTTTCCTCCTCCTCCTCTTCTCCTCCTCCTCCTCCTCCTCCTCTTTCCTCCTCCTCCTCTTTCCTCCTCCTCCTCTTTCCTCCTCCTCCTCCTCCTCCTCCTCCTCCTCCTCCTCCTCCTCCTCCTCCTCCTCCTCCTCCTCCTCTTCCTCCTCCTCCTCCTCCTCCTCCTCCTCCTCCTCCTCCTCCTCCTCCCCCCTCGCCGCGGCTCCACTGGCCACCTGCCAGACCACCCCAGCCCAGCCCGAAGGCCCAACTTTCGGGTGGGGAGGAAGGGGGGGGGGCCAGACCCCCTCGCGCCGTGACGCCGACCACGACGGGAGGCATCTTGCTGCGTGTTCGGCCTCCAAGGGGCCCTTGCTGGGCCTTGGGAACCTCACGAAATGACTCGGGAGGAAAAGCCTGTCCCGGGAAGGGGGTCGAGACCTCTGGGGGTCGACGCTGTGAAGAATCCAGATGTGGCGTTTCAGCGTTCCTGGACGCCCCCCCCCCCACACACATTGGGGACGGAGGGCAAGCTGGGGCCTTCGGGCGGGATTGGGGTGGTTTGGCTGGTGGTGACTGACCGACTCCTTCGGTGACGAGCACCTTCCGTGACGTCCCCTGGTCCGACGTCGCGAATCAAGTGCGACATCGCTGAAAGTCACGACCGGAGCCCCGACCCACTCTTCCCGCGTCATGATTCGAGCGGGACAGTTCTCTGAGGGCGCCAATTCGCTCGTGGTGAAATAAAAAGCGCAACGCCAAGATCTCAGGTTCCAGAATCTCCTCCGGCCGCATACGTAGGTCTCGGGGTTAGGCGAGGGAGACGTCACCGAAGGGGCTGCTTTGTCGGGGGCGCACAAACGTGAATCAGCGATCCATCGATTTAGCGCGCGGTCGCCAAATCCATGGATCGGGAGAGGTGCCCTCCCCGAAATGCGGCCGGTGCTGCCTCGCTCAACGGCGGAATTCCGCGATTTCCCATGGAAACGGGACTCGTCGCTCATCCACGCCCCCTTGATCCATGCTCGATGATGATGATGATGATGATGATGATGATGATGATGATGATGATGATGATGATGATGATGATGATGATGATGATATTGATGATGATGCTGATGATGCTGATGCTGATGATGATGATTATGCTGATGATGCTGATTATGCTGATGATGCTGATGATGCTGATGATGCTGATGATGCTGATGCTGATGATGCTGATGATGCTGATGATGCTGATGATGCAAATGATGATGCTGATGATGCTGATGATGATGCTGATGCTGATGCTTGCGATCGCCTGACTTCGCCAGGGGTCGGTTATGCCGCCCCCGACCTCGCCGCCGTCGTGCGCGGGCCGCCCCCCCGGCCGGGCGCCGTCCCTCTGGCGCCGCGCCCGCGTCGTGAAGGAAACACGTCGGGAGCTTTGCGGCCGCGTTCGGCCTCTGGGGACCCAAGGACCGCGAAGAACAGCCCCACGCCACACGTCTTTATGTATATATGTGTAAATTATATATGTAGTTATGTATGTAAGTATATATATACATATATACCTATACGACCACCCTGCGGGTGACAAGGAGATTGGGGGGGAGGTGGCCAGCAATGGGCAACAGTGGTGATTGCTCGATTCCACTATCGATCTCGCTATCGATATCACTCGATCGATCTCACTATCGATCTCACTATCGATCTCACGATCGATATCACTATAGATCTCACTATTGACCTCTCACTATAGATCTCACTATCGATCTCACTATCGGTCTCATTCTCGATCTCACTATCGATCTCACTATCGATCTCACTGTCGATCTCACCACGGGACACCACGGGACAACGACGGGACCCCGGCGGGACACCAGCGGGACACCAGCGGGACACCGGCGGGACACCGCGCCCCACCGGTTGCCGGGCGGAGAACCTTTGGTCCGGCCGCGGCCCAGCCACGACGGGACACCGGCGGGACACCAGCGGGACACCAGCGGGACACTGGCGGGACACCGCGCGCCACCTTTTGCCGGGCGGAGACGCTTTTGGTCCAGCCGCGGCCCAGCCACAGGAGAATTTCCTCTCCCCCGCCCGCGCAGCTTCGCCTCGCCCGCACGCGCGGCACGAACACGAAACCGAAATCGATGTCCCGGCAGGGGGGCTCTCCTTTCCACTCCGATTTCACCCCCCAACCTCCGATGTACGGATGTGAATAGAGTGACAAACAAACCCCACTGCAAGCATGTATGTAAGTCTCCCCCTGTGGCGGTTGCGGAATGAGCGTATCGTGGCCACATCTGCGGGGCACGAGCCGCTTAGCCCCATTCACCAGGAAACCGGTGTCATGCTTCACGCATGCCCATCCTCCCCTTATCGCCAGTCCCCTGGCTTCAAAGGCGTGCGGGAATATATACATACATACATACATGTGTGCATGTTTGCATACATGCATATGTGCATTCATGAAATCCATGCATGTATGCATACACATGCGCACATGCATACATGCATGCATGCATACACACATACGTAATACAGCATGCAGGCATGCATACATACACATACACACATACATACAAAGGCACAGATAAACATACGTACATGTATACCTACACGCATACATACATACGTACACGCAAACCTAAATGCATATTGCATATAGTCATGCATACCTACATGCATACACACATGCATACATGTATATACACACATGCACATGCATGTACGCATGCATGCGCACATGCATTCACACATACGAATGTACATGCATATATGCATTCATACACCTTTACGCCGATACGCACACATACACACATGCACGCATGCAGAAATGCATACATACATGCCTGCATGCATGCATGCATGTATGCACACACATAAATGCATATACACGTGCATCAAAACACGCACACACACATAGATGTATACACATACGTACATCCACGCAGACCTAAGTGTATCAACGCATACATGCATACATACATGCATCCATACACACAGATATACCTTTGTACATACATTCATACATACATGAATGCATACATGCACGCATGCACACACATGAATCCATGTTTACACATATGTACGTGTTGGCATGCACGCATACAGACATTGACATACATACATGCATGCATGCATGCATATACATACATACATACATACATACATACATACATACATACATACATACATACATACATACATACATGCATGCGTGCGTGCGTGCATGCATGCATGCATGCATGCATGCATGCATGCATGCATGCATACATACAGACATACACATATATACATATGGCATGCACGATCTGGTTACGTTGTTCTCGATGCGTGTTCGTTGTTCCACGTTCTGCCTTCGATCCGCCTCTCGTGCAAGACGAACTCGAAACGAGCACGGCCCACGACATCGCCAAACACACCGCTTGGCCCGAGCCCTGCCCTCTCACTCCCCCCCTTAGCGCGCCGCCAAATCCAAGGCCTGGGAGCGGTGTGCACACGACCCCCCTTAGCTTGGCGAGGGCGGCGCACACACGAACCCTGGGCCAGTGATGCGCCTGGCCAGGGGGGCGGTGGACATGTCTAGACTTAGGTAGGGAATGTCCCCCTACAGGGTGATCTTTAACAGAAAAATTGAAACAATCCGAAGTTGCTCAAATATTGCCCCCAAAATGCTCAACACATCGTCCCCCGACTATTTCTGCCTAGTCTTGAATATTCCTCCATTAGACGGACAGGCCCGACTTAAGCCTAGACATCGTCGCCCGACATCGTGGTCGACCGCGGCGGCCAGGCAGCCTCAAAAACGCATCCCCGCCCCTGAGTCTGGCATCGTCTCGCCTCTCAGTGCCGACCTTGGGGATACCTGCAAGCCTTTTTGGGGCGTGAGTGGTTTAGCGGGCTCCCTCTTCCGACCCCCTTCCCTCCCCTTCGGGAAGGGGTTTGTAAAGGGGCCCTGGCACACACAAATTAACTGTACACAAATAAAGGGATCCCCATATTTCTTGGATGTTCGTCATCCCCCCCGCTTCCCATGGGTTCCCATACTTCCTGGGGGCTCGGCGAAGAATTGCGTCTGTGTGTGTTCTTGCTTCTCCTCCTCCTGTCCAAGGTGTACCTTTTCCTGCACATCATCTTCGGCACCGCCTGATCCCAGGGCTTCGCCCTCTCCCGGCCGCCGTGAGGCCCCGCCTCCTTTCGCCCGTCCTCTGCGAATGAAAGCTGTGCGCGTCCCGCTTAGCTTTCAGCGGAAGAGGTTCGCTCTCGCCCCGCAGATCCAAAATGTTGTTTCTCCTCCCAAACGTTCCCATATTTCTTCGATGTTCGTCATCCCCCCCGCTTCCCATGGGTTCCCATATTTCCTGGGGGCTCGGCGAAGAATTGCGTCTGTGTGTTCTTGTTTCTCCCCCTCCTGTCCAAGGTGTACCTTTTCCTGCACATCATCTTCGGCACCGCCTGATCCCAGGGCTTCGCCCTCTCCCGGCCGCCGTGAGGCCCCGCCTTCTTTCGCCCGTTCCCTGCTGATCAAAGCCGTGCGCGTCTCCCGCTTAGCTTTCAGCGGAAGAGGTTCACTCTCGCCCCGCAGATCAAACATTGTGCTTCTCCCCCTTGTTTTGTTTCTCTTCTCTGTTTTTTTTCCATTCTGCAACTGCAGGAGCGCGCGGGCGCCAACAAAATCGTGCTTCTCCTCCTGAGTACGCCTCTCCCGCACACCCCGTGCACCCGGGCATGGACGGCTCGCCTGGCCAGCAGTGGGAGCGTCCGAGCACGGCCTCGGCGAGGGCGCCCGACGTCCGTGGCGTCACCGGGCCTCCTCGCCGAGCGCCGCCACCGGGGATGGACAGACCTCCCTTTAGTAAAACGTGGTTTCGTGAAAACGACTTCGGGCCCAAACCTGGCGGGCGCAAGCCTGGAAAATAACGGCCTCGGCGCCCTCACGAAAACGGAAAACGGACAATTCACTAATCGACGTGTCACTGGTGGGGGTTCTGTCCACCCCCGACGCCACCGTGCTTGGCGCTTCCGCCTCGCGGAGCTCGACCTTGCTCGGGCGTTGGCGGAGCTGGGTTTCGTGGGGCCTGGCTTCGTGCTGTGCACGGGGGGGGACGCCCCCCGGCTCCAGCTCCGGCTGTGCTCTGGGGGGAACTGCCGCAACTTGAGAAAAACACGAGCTACGGCAGACCTGGTTTAGTTCGGGAGCGGCCAAGAGGGGGGGGTGCAAGAGGGGGGGGTGCAAATCATGACTGGCGGCATGTGCGCGGCCCAGAGGGGGGGGCAGGGACGTAAGGAAATAAGAAGAGGCGCCACGAAACCTGGGGAACTATCACGCCCCCGCCATGATATCCCCCCCCTAGTCATACACACAAATAAAAAAAATCCCTTTATTTTCTTATATGTTCTGGATTTTTGTCTTCCCGCCCAATTCCAGTATTTTTCCATATTTTCCTGGCACTCGACGATTAATTGTGTCTGTGTGTTTCTTTCCCTCATGAACTTTTCACGCTCGCGCAGGAAAGGCCTGCCAGGGGCCCAGAAAAAAGGACAACTGGAACCTGAAAGCTTCGCTCGCTCCTCCTCCACCTCCTTCTCATATGTCACCTCCTCCGCCTCCTCCTCCACCTCATCATCATCATCATCATCATCAGCATCATCATCATCATCATCATCATCATCATCATCATCATCATCATCATCATCATCATCATCATCATCCTCATCCTCATCCTCATCCTCATCCTCATCCTCATCCTCATCATCATCCATCCTCATCTCATCCTCATCCTCATCCTCATCCTCATCCTCATCCTCATCAGCATCATCATCAGCATCAGCAGCAGCAGCATCATCCCCCACTCCGTCCTGATATCTCCTCCTCCCCACTCCTCCCCCTCCTCCCCACCCCCTTTCCGTTGAGGGGTAACGTTATGGGGCGTTTGCCTCAGCTATCGGGCCCGTGTTGGCGATGAATGGGCGATCGGGGATCGGTGCATCCCCCTCGGTGCCTATCCCCCGCGATCGGAGTCTCGCCCGCCGAATCCTTCCCGCGCCAGAATGCTCGATCGGAGATTCACCCTCGTAATCGCTCCCGCACCAAAATGGTGGATCCCGTTCCTCCTGTTGCTCCTCCACCTCCGCCTCCGCCTCCACCCCGGTTTCCGCCTCCGCCTCCGCCTTCACCTCCTTGTTCTCCTCCTCCTCCTCCTTTTTCATTCCTCCTCCTCCTCCTCCCCCTCCTCCTCCTCCTCCTCCTCCTCCTCCTCCTCCTCCTCCCCCTCTTCCTCCTTTTGCTCCTCTTCCTCCTCCTCCTCCTCCTCCCTCGGGTGCGCCGGGTCCTCCTTCTCCTCCGTCTTCGCCTCGGCCTCCGCCCCACTTCCGACTCCGCCTCCGCCTCCGCCTCCGCCTCCTCCTCCTCCTGCTCCTCCTCCTCGTCATCCTCCTTTTCCTTCTCCTCCTCCCCACTCCTCCCAACTCCTCCCCCTCGCCCTCCTCCTTTTCTTCCTCCTCCTCCACCTCATCCTCCTCCTCCTCCTCCACCTCCCTCCTCCCTCCTCCTCCTCCTCTTCGTCATCCTCCTCCTCCTCCTCCTCTCCTCCACCTCGTCATCAAAATCATCATCATCATCATCATCATCATCATCATATCATCATCATCATCATCAATCATCATCATCATCATCAGCATCAGCATCATCATCATCATCATCATCATCATCATCATCATCATCATCATCATCATCATCATCATCATCATCAGCATCACATCATCATCATCATCATCATCATCATCATCATCATCATCATCATCATCATCATCATCATCATCATCATCATCATCATCATCATCATCATCATCATCATCATCATCATCATATCGTCATCATAAGCATCTTTATCATCATCAGCATCAGCAGCATCAGCATCATAATCAGAATCATATCATCATCATCATTTTTCCTCCTCCTTTTCCTCCTCCTCCTCCTCCTCCTCCTCCTCCCTCTCCTCCTCCCCCTCACCCTCCACCTCCTCCTGCTCCTTCACCTCCTCCTCCTCCTCTCTCTCCTCTCCTCCTCTCCTCGTCCTCCTCCTCCTCCGCCTCCTCCTCCTCCTCCTCCTCCTCCTCCTCCTCCCCACTCCTCCCCCTCGCCCTCCTCCTTTTTCTTTTCCTCCTCCTGCTCCTGCTCCTGCTCCTGCTCCTGTTCCTCCTCCTCCTCCTCCTCCTCCTCCTCCTCCTCCTCCGTCTCCCTACCCGTCCCTCGCTCCTCTCTCCTCCCTGCCCACGGGCGCCCAGGGAGAGCCCAGGGGCCCCTAACCCCAAAAAGACCCTGGGAGAAGCCCACAACGGAAGACCGGCAGTGACAATTCGTGCCCTTCCTCCTCAGAATGGACCAACAGACCCACGACATGCACGGGTTCCCTTGTGCCGTAAGCGACCGGAGGACGCGGAGGAGGAGGAGGAGGTGGAGGGGGAAGGGCAGGAGGAAAAGGAGGAGGATGAGGAGGAGGAGGAGGAAGAGGAGGAAAAGGAGGAGGAAGAGGAGGACGGGGAGGAGGACGGGTGGCCGAATCCTTTTCGGAACAACCCTCCACCGCGACGCCCGCAATGCGCCAACAAGAGACCACAATCAGGATCAGAGGCGTCAGAATGAAATCGATACGTCGGTTCGGTTTCCGGAAGAAATGGGATCGACGGAAGTGGACAAACGCGTCCCACTGCTCGCAAAGTAAATGCTCTCAGACGGCCGTGGTTCGCCGCGGGGGCTTTACGATGCGCTACATACATATATTTGTATGTATATTTTTATACATATATATAGAGAGAGACAGGGGCGTGTTGTTCTGGACGTTCGCGAATAGGCACTATCTGATGTTGCATACTTATGGTGCTGCATCCTCGGAAGACCTTGTCTGTCCCGTCGCGGCCCTATCCGCGTCGAATCCGTGCCGATTTCATGTCGGCCTCGTCGGAACCGCATACGATTCCGTGCCGAATCCGCGTCGAATCCACGCCAAATCGGCATCGAGTGCGCCTCGAGCCCACGTCGGGCACAAACAAAGATACCAAGTTTGTGTACAGACGAAGTCCACTGACAATTCACCATGGTTTTTCAAGACGTTTGCGAAGAGTCGGAAGTCGGCAAACAAGCGAGGCTAGAGGCCTCCTACGTGGGGTCGGAGTAGATAGGGTCGGAGGGTCGCGCCGCATCGCCGATACATCGGCGATACATCGTCGATGCATCGTCGATGCATCGACGACGTACTGGCGATGCATCCATCGTCGATGTTGGCGATGCATCGGCGACATCGACGTGATGCAAATCGGGCTGCACATCGAACCGCATCGGCGATGCATCGGCAATGAGGCGCGATCCTTCCGACCCCATCTACCCCGCCCCCCTCTGGGAGGCCTAGAATGGCCCCCCTCGAGAAGCCAGCGTCCACATCGGAGTCCGACGTCGAATCGACTCGGAATCGGAATCGACCGACCTCGAATCGCATCGAGCCAGGACGGCCGAGATGAGCTCCGAAGCGCCCCCATGCGCACGCCTCCTCGTGGCCGGCGCGCTGGAGCTGCAGCCGGAGCCGCTCGCGTACCTGGCCGGGGTGGCGCCGGACGAAAGAACCCGCCGGTCGGCCCCGATCGGGCTCTGCCATGAGTGGCAACTGCTAGGAGCCTCCCACACCACCTTTCTTCAAATCAAGGAAGAATGCTGCCCGCTTGCGCACACACACACACACACACGCACACTGTGGGCGCAAGCCTCCGAAAAACGTAAGCAATATGTCCTTGCTCAGTGGCTCTTGCCCCTCCTCAGGCCACTCACCCGTGCCGGCGGGAATGCGCGCCAACGCCGCGCGCCCCAAACACCCCGCGGCCCGCCAACGTGCGGCCCGCTCATACCTCGGAGGTGGGTGGAGAGAGCCCCCACCACCCACGACTCCGAGAGGGGGAATGGTTCCAGCCGGGGAGGCTGAAGGGGGCCCACGGGGGACCTGCGTGACCGGAGGGGGCAGGAGGGGTTCAGCAGGGACCGACCGTTCCGGTAATCCTACCATGAAATGTTCTTAGAACCCAACAAATGTTCTAAGAACAAAAACAATACTCTTAGACCACAAGCCCGATGTGTTCAAACAAGACAGCCCCGGCCAGAAATGTCCTCAGAACTTTTCGTGGAGACAACAAAAGGTTCTTAGAACACTCACGGCCCCGGCCAGCAAATCAGAGGCCTCCTAGATGGGGTCCGAGTACGGTCGGCCCGAATCAGATTCCGAAGCTCCTCGAGCGGGGCGCTGCCAGACCGAGGAGGCAAAGGATGCAAAGGTACCTTTCAGAAGGTTGTCCATCCTTACTATGCGGGTTGACTGTGGAGCCCTCCTAGATGGGGTCCGAGTAGATGGGGTTTGAGGATTGCGCCGCATCGCCGACGCATCAGTGATACAACGCCGATGCATCGCCGAATCATTGGCGACGTCGGCGGTGCCTCGGCGCCGTCCGCGTGGAGGAAAGCGGGACCCGCATCGAACCGCATCGCAGATGCATCGGCAATTCGTCGCGATCCCCCGACCCCACCTACTCGGACCCCGCTTGGGAGGCTTACAAAAATACTACTACCCCTGGACATACCCACCCTATACGAAAACTGGGATCCGGGTACCTCAAGCGTCCGACAGCCGTGCCGGACGATCCTTGCACCGTCGAGAATCTGTCGACGAGGTGCAGCTGCTGGGCAGCATCCCGATGCCGGAGAACAGATTGGAACCGACGAAAAAAAGCAGGAAACCTCGAACATCGATACTCGAGCCTCCGAAGAGGACCCCAAGTCCGAGTTCCCTTCGAGGACGCCCCTGCCTCCTCCCCCGAGTCCTCCTCCTGCTCCTCCTCTTCAAGCTCCTCATCCTCCTCGTCCACCTGCTCCTGCTCCTCCTCCTCCTCCTCCTTCTCTTCCTCTTCCTCCTCCTCCTTTTCCTCCTCCCCTCCTCCGCCTCTCCCTCCATCCCCACGATTGTTCAAGGTGTCCCCAGCTCTGCGTTCCATGTCGCAACCCCTGGGACCGTCCGGACCACGAACCAAAACAATCCGCCAAGCCCAGGCCCATTTCCAAAATGTAGTTTTCGCTTCGGCGCCGCGCATACTCACTGAAAAAATTGCACGAGCTTCACGGATTGAGGGCGGCTCGTTTTTTGTGCTTATCTATCTCTCGCCTCAGCGCCGCGCGCATTCGGTTTTCAAAGTGTGCACGAATTTCAGGGATTGCGGGTGGCCCGGTTTCAACATGTAGTTCCCGCCCCAGCGCCGCGCGCATTGTTTTCTGTTTAATGTTTGTATGGTTCTTTTTTTATACACGCGCACGAGCTTCGCGGATTGAAGGCGGTTCGGTTTCAAACTAGAACTCCCGCCATAACGCCGCGCGCGCAGCCACCTTCAACGCGCACAAGTTTCACGGATTGAAGGCGGTTCGGTTTCAACATATACATCTCGTCTCAGCGCCGCGCGTTTCTTTTACGAGAAAGTGTGCACGACCTTCACGGATTGAGGGCGGCTCGGTTTGAAAATATGGCTTTCGCCATAGCGCCACGCACACTGGCTATAGAATGTTGCATGAATTTCACGAATTGAGGGCGGCTCAGATTCAAAATCTGACTCTCGCCTCAGCGCCGCGCAAATTCGCCTTTGAACTTTGCACGACTGTCGCGGATTGAAGGCGGCCCGGTTTCAAAATCTACTTTTCGCCTAAGCGCCGCGCACATGTGACATTTCTTACCGTGCACGGGTTTCACGGAGTGGGGGCGACTCGGATTCAAAATCTAGATCTCGCCTTAGTGCCGCGCGCATTCGCTAGAACAAATGCGCACGGACTTCAATGATTGAGTGCGGCCCGGTTAAAAATCTAGCTTTCGCCGTAGCGTTAGATCCGACAATGACGACTACAGGCGGTCCACCACCATATCGCGCGAAGAAACTCAAGCTCATTTGGAATCAAAAAGTCTAAACCCAAACCTGCGGAAACTATCACAACTTCAGAACACATCCCAGCAAAAACGGGCTAAATCTCACCCCCACCCCCAAAAAAAACAAAATCGAAGCCAAAACCTGGGAAAGTCATGCACCCACGCGCAATTCAACACATCTTTAAGCCATAACCACAAAACATCACAAACTTCCAAAGAAGTGTGACAAGTCTCGAAGCCGAAACCTGGTAAGAAAACAAACCAGAGAAACCGACACTCCAAACACAACTAAGAAACAAATAGCCGCAGCGCCGCGCGCATCCGTTATTGAAAATTTGCACGACCTTCACGGACTTCGGGCGGCTTTGTTTCAAAATATGGTTTTCGCCATAGCGCCGCGCGCATCCGCTGTGAAAACATTGCACGAGCTGCACGGATTGAGGGAGGCTCGTTTTCAAAATATTGTTCTCGCCTTAGCGTCGCGCACATTGCGCGTATTTCTAAAAATGAACGCGGGCCCCGACAGTGCAAGCACTGAAGTGCTAAGCGCCGGCTCGCCCAAAAAGTTCCAAGCGCTGACGGCCGCTCCTCGGATAACCGCATGCCGATGATAATAAAGGGACCCCCCCCCTTTCAATGTTTAGAGTTGATTACCGTCGCCCTATACAAAATTCAAATTGGGCGGCGAGCGCTGAGGCCGAACTTCATTATCACCTCGAAACGCTATGTTGAGATAGCAACATCAAGCGATGTTGATATAGCAACATCCAGCGAAGCGATCACACTTTTTCAGGATGTCAAGCGAAACCAATAATTTTGGGAGGCAGACTCAAACGAAACGAGCAATGTTCTTATTATTAGTATACTTTCCTCTTCTTATTTTATATTTATATCTGTCCTCACGCTTGCCTGAACTTTGTTATCCCTGGGGTTTGATTATCCATGGAAAATGAAGCACATGAGCTACCCTACACGAGCACTTTTTTAAATATATATATATATGTTTATATATAATTATATATATACACATATATATAATTATATATATATATATATATAAAAAGGCTTGCAACTTAAAATTGATAGATTTGGAACTTTGGAGTTTTCATTTCTTCGTCCTCTTCGTATTATCATCTTTTTCTTTCTTATTATTATTCTACTGTATTCTTCTTCATTTATATTTCTCTCTGTCCCCACGCTCGCCTGAACTTTTTTATATCTGGTGTTGATTATCCATGGAAATTGAGGCACATGAGCTACCCTACACGAGCACTTCAAACAAAAAAATGAGATATAAGCCATTGTTGAGGATATTTCTATGAAAACTAAACGCCAAGGATGTCTCAAAACGTGCTCGGTTTGGTCTCCTCTTGATCATCTCTTACTTCGAGTTTATGCTGAGGTCTGCTGGGCTACTTTTATTATCTCTCCCTGAATCCCGAACTTTATCATCCCCTAGTGTTTATTCTCACGGGCATGAGGTTAAACGCTGAAAGCCGTTCCTCGGCTAAGCGCTGCAAGCCTTCCCTCCTGGCCCCTTCTCCTCCTCCATGCCCCCCCTCCCCACCCCGCCCCCCCCCCCTCCCCCCCCCCCCCCCCCTTCCCAGCCCCCTGGCTGCGTCACTGACAAGGCTGCGCGGAATCCACCGAAAGCGCCCGGCACGGCCCCTCAAAGTATTCTTGCCGCAAAAAAACACATCAGCCGGGCTGAGATGATCTTGCAATGGCCTGGTCTCGCCACTCAGCGATTCACTGATCTGAAGCCGCCACTGACGGATCGCCCTCGCCCTGTCACGAACGCTCGCTGACCGAGCAATCGCCGGGGCTAGGCGACTTCGCTGCGGTGCCTGAGGGCAAGAGCTGCTGGTAGTCGTTATGTCACATGGTCGCTTGAACGATTTCGCCGCGGTTGATCTCCCCGCTGATCGGGCCCTCGCCAGTCCCAGGGGCGTCGAAATGCAGGATCACGAGCGGCATCTCAGCGCCAGCAGCGCCGGCTGCATCGGGCGCTGCTGCGCGCCCAGCGCGAAACTAATCTGAAATCGCAGTTTCGCACCTCCTTTTCCCGCGCGCGCCCGCAGATGCCGCGGTCGTCTGGGCCCGACGTTTCCGGGCACCTGGCGCCTGAGACAAGGAACTCTTCGTGCTTCTTCCCCGGGCGCGCGCGCCGGCATCGCGGCGCATCACCCCCCAGACCCAGCTTTCCTCAGCCCCAGAGGCGTCGGGCTGACAGACCATGAGCGGCGCTTCAAAACTGAAAGCACGCGGGTGCCACGGCGCGCCGCCGAATCCCGAGGGGCCGATGGCTGCTGCCCGGCACCCGTTGCACCTCCAAGCCCAGGCGGGGCCCGCGCAGACTTGACGCGCGCCAGCGCCGACTCAGGCGCCGGGCGGCGCGGGCCTCCGAGATCCGCCTGGAGCCCGGCGCGCCGGGGCGGAAAGCGCGACAATGATCTGGCTGACTACTTACCTGGCCGCGGCGGCGCCAGCGACACTGACGGCGCCGGCGCCGCAGGCAATGGGGCGAGCCCCACTGGCTCGAGCCGAGGCGCCCGGGCTGCAGCCGCGAATCAACCAGCCCCGCGCGGGGCGATATATCGAGCACCGCAGAACCGACATTAATACTCCCCGCGCGCGAGAAATCGCGGAAACGCGGAACAGAACCGACCCCCGCCATTCGACGAAGCGACGGGGCCGGGCCCAATGCTGCCATTCTCTTGCTGCTCACCGCCCGCGCCCCATGCAATTCTCGCCGCCGCCCGAGGACGTTAGTCGGTCGCGCCCGCCCCGCGCCGACGCGCCCGCCCGGCGCGGAAGTTGTCTTTAGCGCCGCGGAACCGCGAACATCAGTGCTCACGCCCGCGAGAAATCGCCCAAATGCTGACAATACAAACAAGTGCCGCCATCGGGCGAAGCGATGTAATGTCTCCATCAATACACAACGATAACAAAGAACCACCTAGTAAGTAGCACGAAGAGTACGAATATTAGTCGTAGTCATAACGAGTAATTGATGCAATGCCATCGCACGAATACAACTCACATCTCAACGTAGGAAACCAATCCAGAATACAGACGCGAGCCGCACGCGTAGTAAGCAGCACTACTTTATAAGTCTTCGAGAGGAGCTTGAATCCGAAGCCCCCCCCCCCCCCCCCATCCGCACCGCCCCCGCCCTGCGCGATTCCCATTGCCACCCTGAAATAGAAATTGACGTTCGTCGGCCGTCCAAAGGGGCGGGCGGCCCATCCCATGGCGTCGCGCCCACCCCGCGCGGGGCGATATCTCCATCGCCACAGAACCCCGAAAATCCGATTCCCGCCGGCGAGACAGCGCGGGGGCGCGGAAAAGTAACCAACTCCCGCCATCCGACGAAGCGATGAGTTTTGTCCTTAATACATCAATTAAGAACCAACAGTTACAAAGTTAGTAGAACTTCAAACAATACTAAAAATGTAATATTGCAATGCAGCCGCACTACCAATAGCGCAATAGCGGTGGCCTATACTTAAGGAAACGCCCATGATCTTGTCAGCGGTGGCAATGGAGTCAAACAACGCGACGCGATGCTTCTTCGAGAGGAGCACGAATCCGAAGCATCCTCTTCCCCCTTCCAATCCGCCGCCGCCCAGCGCGGTTTCTGTTGCAATCCCGAATGGAAAATTGATGTTCATCGGCCGTCCGAGGGGGCGGCCCGCCCCAGGGCATCGAACCCGCGCCTGGAGCACGGGCAAGAAGTAATGCCCGCGAATCGGCAACGCGACAGAAGTGCTTCCTAATTGCAATCGTCGCGGGGAAAAAGAGCGTCGCCAGCGAGAAAAGAGCCCTGGGCAAAAGGAGCGCTAATAGATATCCTGATGATACTTAGAAGACGTAGTAGTAAAAGCCATAATGAAAGTAGTAGAAATAAGAACAATAAGACTACTTCCAATTCTAGACACTCTCAGCAGCAGGGCGCCCGAAGCCTGTGCTGGCCGAGCTAAGCCAGCGCCGGCGATCAGGCGTGTCGCCCGAAATCCAATTGGTCACCGTTCAGGTTTCACTTCCGTTTCCAGGCCGACATGGCGAATTTTGCCGCGCGGACAACAACAGCCCGCGCGCGCCTCTGCACGCGCGCGCGAGCGCGACGGGGTGACCACGAGCGGAAGGGCCACCCAACATCTGGTGAGTCACCGTCATGGTCTCGCTTCCGTTTTAAAGCCGGCATGGCATTTCTCCAATTGCGGACAACAAAGAATGACCCACGCGCGCTTCCGCGCTTCCGCGCGCGCGAGCGCGATCGGGAGACCCGCGCGCGGTCGGGTCACCCGAAATCTGGTTGGTCACCGTCCAGGGGCCACTTCAATCCCCAAGCCAATACGATACTTTATCATTGCGGACAAACACAAAAAAAATACCCACGCGCACGTCCGCACGCGCGCGCGAGCGCGATCGGGTAACCGCACGCGGGCGGGTAACCCGGAATCGGGCTGGTCACCGTTAATGTTTCACATTGGTTTCGGGGCGCGTCGACCTTTTCCATTGTCAACAAATGCAGAAGTTCCCACGCACGCGTCCGCGCGAACGCGCGCGCCAGCACAATCGGGTGACCCACGCGCGGGCGGGTCACCCGAAATCCGGTTGGTCACCGTCGCTGGTTCCCTGCAGCTTCAAAGCCAAAATGGAGAATTTCCAACCGCGGGAAATGCAGAACGCGCCACGCGCGCGTCCGCACGCGCGCGATCGGGTGACCCACGAGCGGGCGGGTCACCTAAAAATCTGGTTGGTCACCATGAAAGCACTTCAGTTTCCGCGCCGACATGGCGACTTTTCCATTGTGGACAATCGAGAATTCCCCACGCACGCTTCCGCGCTGGCGCGCGAGCGCAATCGGGTGACACGCGCGCGGGCGGGCCAGCCGAACTCTGGTTTGCCACCTTACAAATTTCACTTCAGTTCCCAAGCCAACAAGGCGACTTCTCCATGGTGGACGTTGCAAAGCTGGCCACGTGCGCGTCCGCGCCCGCGCGCAACCGGGTGACCCACGCGCGGGCGGGTCACCCGACATCTGACTGGTCACTGTTAAAGGGTCCACTTCAGGTTTCTTGCCAACATGGCGACCCTTCGCTCATACGGCTCATAGGGCTCATGCGGGTCATGGGGCTCAGGGAGGCTCATGGGGCTCATGTGGCTCGCAGGGCCCATAGAGCTCACTGGACGTATAAAACTTCTGGCGCATGGGATTCATCGGGCCCATAAGCCGTAGGGGTCATAGTTCTTAAGCGGCGCCCAAGCGAGAGCCGCATTCTGGAAACGAGCCGCCGTCCATCCGTGAATATATTGCGCAATTTTGCGCCGAGTCTGCGCGGCAACGAAACGAGAACATTATGAAATCGAGCCGCCCTCCATCCGTGAAGTTCTTGTAACGCTGCCAAAAAGAATGTGCGCGGCGCTGGGGCGAGAACCACATTCTGAAAACGAGCCGCCCACCCTTCGTGAAGCTCTTGCAACACGTTCTAACACGAATGCGCGCGGCGCTGAAGCGCGAGAGACTTTTGGAAAACGAGCCGCCTTGAATCCGTGAAACTCTTACAACGATTGGAGAACGCACTCGCGCGGCGCTAAAGCGATAAACGCAATTTGAAAACAAACCGCACTCCACCCGTGAAGCTCTTGCCACGTTTTGAAAACGAATGCGCGCGCGGCTGAGGCGAGAAACACATTTTGAAAACGATCCGCCCTCCAACCGTGAAGCTCTTGCAACGTTTTGAGAACGAATGTGCGCGGCGCTGGGGCGAGAACCCCGTTTTGAAAACGAGCCGCCGTCAATCCGTGAAGCTCTTGCAAGCCTTTAAATCGAATGTGCTCAACGCTGAGGCGGGACCAACATGTTGAAAACGAACCACCCTCCACCCGTGAAGCTCTTGCAATACTTTCAACACGAATGCGCGCGGCGCTAAAGCAATAACCACAGTTTGAAAAACGAGCCGCCCTCCATTCGCGAAACCCTCGCATTGTTTAAAGTGCACGGCACTGAAGCGATACCAACAATTCGAAAACGAACCACCCTGAATCTTTGAAAATCTGTCAAACAAGTTGAAGCGATTGTGCGCGGCGCTGTAGCAAAAACTACATTTTGAAAACGAGCCGCCCTCCATCCGTGATTGTTTCGCAATTATTTGAATCGGAGGTGCGCGGCGCGAAGGCGGGAGCAACGAGCCACCCCCACTCCGTGACACGCTTGCAAATGTTTTAGACCAATGCGCGCAGCGCTGAAGCGGGAGCAACGAGCCGCCCTCCGTCAGCGAAGTCCGTGCGAGTTTTCAAACCGAATGCGCGCGGTGCTAACGCGATAACCACATCATCCTTCCGGTACGGGGATAACGCTTCCTGGTGCGGGAAAATATCCTCAAGCCGGAAAAAAGGAAGGTTCTTAGATACTTCGTGCGGTTAAACCCCCGATCTGGACTCCACATCCGTTATTCCCTGGTTGGGGTCCGCCATCGGGTCACTATCGGATTTTCTATCGGCGATGAATGGGCGATCGCGAATCGATACATCCCCCCCGAAACCTATCCCCCCGACCGTTGCCCCTGAGATCCTCCACCATTGAGACTGTCTACCACTTCTCTCGGTGACAACCTGGGTTATCCGGTGGGGGTAGGGGGGATTGGCCAGTCACCGGAATAGAACAACCCCACGCATACCCGCGCACACCAGCGCTGCGCACCCCTTCCAGACCTGTGCACCCGACAAGGTCAATATTTCGGATGGGACGAGGTGATGTTCTCACAACGTCGACCGCCAGATGTCTCGACCCTTTCCCCGGGACTGGATTTTCATCCTGTGTCGTCTCTTGACGGTCCCGAGGCTCGGCGAGGGCCCCCCGAGGCCGAAAATGGTGAACAAAAATCCCATCGCGACCGTTTCAAAACGCGTGGGGCTCTGGGTTGCAAAGTCCCCTCCCCGAATGCCCCTGGCGGGGCGGGGGCACAGCGAGAGCGCGTCCAGGAGTCCCCACAGCACGGACGAGTCGCTCCCGGTCCCCTATAGGCACGGGCGGAGCCGGGATCGCTCTTGCTGAGCCCAGGCATGGGGGGCAGCGGGATGACAAAAGAACGGGCTCCCAGAGGAGGAGGAGAGGGAGAAGGAGCAGGAACAGGAGGAAGAGGAGGATGAGGAGAAGGAGGTCGGGGTGGCGAGTCACTCCGTGCCTCCGACTCCACAAGTCGCCGTCCGTCGGAGGTCCATTCCCTGCGTTGTTTTCAGTTTCGCGCGCTCATTTTTCGCAAAACGGTCCAGGGCACTCTTCGAAGTTCTTCACCGTTGCAATATGCACACGCCCGAGCGATCCCAAGAGAAAGGGGGGTCTGATTTGGGTGTGGTTTGCAAGCAAAATCACCACTGTTAAAATCAAGTTAGAGACAACATGAACGCATACTCCATAACACGCTTGTATGTGTATGTCGGTTTGTATACATGGAACGCACGTGCGCCTGAACATACATATATAATGCATGCATATGTGCATATATACATATATATATATATGTGTATATATATATATATGTGTTTGTATGCGCATGTATTCGTGTATGGGTGTATGTGTACGTGCGTGTGTATGCATGAACGTGTGTTTTCTATGTATACGTTGATAAGCATATATGTATATATGTGTATGTGTATGTTTGGATGCATGGATGTGCTTATGTAGATGCATATATGCAGGTGTGGTTGGTTGTGTGTTTGTTCGATGGTATGTATGTGTGTACGTGTGTATATATGCATGCACGTGCGTATTCATGTTTGTTGGTACGCATGTGTATGGCAACTACGGTTGCACATATACATAGAGAACGGGCGGCCACGGGGCTGGTATGATGTGGGGGCGGACTGATTTGAGTTGTCTTGGAGAATTTCGGAAAAAAAGGGGGGAACAGGTTGTTTGTTCAAGGTGTGAAGCGCATAAAAAAATGCTCGACCCGGAAGGGGAAGCCCCACTTTTCTATCACGCAAACAATATGATATCCAGGCGACGATCCTAGTTTTCGGCCTCGCAACTGCAACAGCAACAAGCCGTACATTCAGCAACACTCGTTGGCACGACAACCGCTTAAGGCCGCCGATGCAATACATGTCTTACACTGCAACACGAAACCGCGGTGGGAGAGACAGAAGGGGGAGGAGAGAAGACAGAACGGCTTAATTGCATAGCAGAAAGCTGCCCGGATGTGCTGCCAAACGCTGTGCACGTCTGCAAGCCACTGCTGTTTTGGCCGGCCGCGACGCCAAAATTTCCCCCAAGTGTTCCGTGTACCGCATTTTTGGCATACCATCCGACGGACGAGGGACTCACTGTGGATGTAGGTTAACGACCGACGAAATCGAACCTGCTGAGATGTCCGTTGGTCGAGGACGAGCAGGAAGAGGGGAGCGATCCCTGTTCCCATGCGCCGCGGGCGAGCGGCGCTGGCCCTGTCGGATAGGAGCGTCCAGTACCGAGCCGAGGCGGCAGCGGGACAGATGGATCAAAAGGTGGCACGAGCGGACACCGCACACACCCGTGGAAGACGTCGGCAGCGCTGCGGCCGCGGACTGCAGGCAGCATGCCTTCGGCTGTCCGGGGGCAGCGGGCCCCGGCCCCGAACCCGAGTGGCGCAGGCCTGCCCGCTGGCGGCGGGCAGGGGGGAGGCGGCAGCGGCAGGGGGGACCGGCGCGGGAGGAGGAGCAGGAGCAGGAGGAGGACAAGATCAGCGATGGGTCCCCGACAGCGACTCCACACGCTCCTTGGCGGGTGGGCTATCGGGCCCCTCTCGGGCGCTTCGGGGCTGATGTATCCCCACCTGAGCGCCTGTCCTAAGTCCCTTATTGTCCCCCCCCCTCCTCCTCCCCCTCATCCTGCTTCTCCTCCTCCTCCTCCTCCTCCTCCTCCTCCTCCTGGCCATCGCCCGAACGTTCATTCCTCGTGCACTCTTCGATTTCGTGCGTTCACTTTCGACAGCAATCCAAGATGCTCCTCAACGGCCCGCGCCGAGGACAAAACGCACATCTCTGAGCGATGCCAAGCCGCCTCCCCCCTCCTCCTTGCTTACCTCCTTCCGCATCTGGGCAGCCCCCAGCCCCGAGAGAGAGCTTCTCGAGAGGTGGGGGCGAGAGGGGTCGCTCGCGGCGGAGTCGCGGGCGGGTTCTCGGGGGGGGGGGGGCGAGGGGGGGGGGCACACACCGCGTGTTTCGCTGGCCGCGGGGCGGAGCTTTGCCGCGGGCACCTGGGCGTGCAAAATATCACGAGATAGCCCCAAAGAGCATGCCGAGGGAGAGCACGTCTCCGAACCGGAGCCGCCCCCCCTCCTCCCTGCGGCCGCGGCCGAGGGGAAGCGCCGCCGTGCATCCACAGATGCTTGAGCATGCCGAGCGGCACGGGCCGCCCTTAAGAGCTTGAGCTGCATGGGAATGCGCATGTCGAGCGGCATGTCGAGCGGCATGGGAAGCGCCGCCGAGCTTGAGCATGTCGAGCGGCATGGTCCGCCCTTAGAGGACGGAGACGCCCTGTGTAAGGGATCCGCCCAACTCCCCTGCAGCACGATCGCCTGGGAGAATGACTTCGAGTCAGAAGCGCCAGCCGCGAAACGCCCTGTGGAAGGGATCCGCCCAACTCCCCTGCAGCACGATCGCCTGGGATAACGACTTCGGGTCGGAAGCGCCGGCCGCGAAGGTGACATCGGCCCTCCGAGGGAAGCAGGTACAAACCGAACACATAATAAACATATGTCCGAACACACATAAGAAACCATATAGCAAACCTTGTACAAACCTAAGAAAATCTTAACACATAGGTCCTAAACACATAGGTAATACAACAACTGAGAATAACACATCTGACACAATATAACAAACCTGGTACACACCTAAGTAACACACACATGTATTAAACACATAAGAAACACAAATCTTGTACAAACCTAACAAGATCGATGTTCGTTAAGACAGAAGAAACATATGACTCGAAGGTGCAGGTGACTTCGCGCTCGAGGATCTCGGGCGGGCAAAACACCAAGCCAGCCCCACGGACACGCTGGCGGTGGGTTGGGGAGGGGGCAGTTGCGAAGAAGCGGAGCGGAGCGAGAAGACGGGAGAGGGGCGATGAGGAGGCGGAGACAGGGCGAAGGGAGGGCGAAGGCGGAAAAGCAGGTGGTGGCTGGAAGAGGTGGGATGCTGCAGGAGCAGCAGCGCGAGGAGGGGAACAGCAGAAGGGATATTGGGGAAGTTCGAAGGAACAGGGGAGCAGGGCCCAAGCGATCAGATCATCGAGAGCGGCGCCCTTGCATTTCGCCGTCCTCGTCGGTGGCCTTGTGTTTTATGTTTGGGCCTTGGGCCCCTGAGCGGGCGCACATGGGGCCAACCGAGAAACCTAGAAACTCCTCCTCCTCCTCCACTTTTTTATCCTCCTCCTCCACCCATCATCATCGGCAGCATACCAACAACACCAGCACAACCATCCTCATGAACATCATCACCATCACCATCACCATCCGGACCACCATCATCATGACCATCGTCTCTTTCTCGTCCAAATCTTCAGAGTCTGGCCACGCAGCCGAAAGAGTTGGGCGGCGGAAGAGCGCTTCTTAAGCCACGTATTGATCTGACATATCGAGCCACAGCGCCGTCTCGACGCACCTGTTCGCGCTTGTTTTCCGTCGAAAGTCGCTCAAGTCCGGCAGCCCTCTTGCAGCTCTCGAAAACCAGTTTGCTCTCTCTCCTCCTCCCGCTCCCCCTCCCCCCCCCCCCCCCCCCCCCCCCCCCCCCCCCCCCCCCCCCCCCCCCCCCCCCCCCCTCTATTTCTCACCCGCACGTTTCCAAAACGACCCCAGTGACCGAACGCCCGAAATTAACCCGCACGCAAGGGTACAGAAACATGCGCTGGCCCGGTCTACCCGCTCCTGGAAGAGAGTGGGAGTGGGGAGAAGAACGAAGAAGGAAAAAAATGAGGCGATGTGTGCTCGACCTAAACGTGTTGGTAGCTCGCTTGGGCCCAGTCGCGGGGGCCCCAGTACCCAGCGCCCAGGGGAGAGGACAAATGCCCCCCCTCCCAAAGGACCTTGGGGCACACTTCCAAACAACGCCTGCACGTGGAAAGCCAACAAAAAAGACGCACGATTTGGAGCCCACGCGGCCCCACGGGTGGCAACATGAAGCTGCCTGTCCAAGTCACGGAATAACCCGTTTTCAGGCTAGCCGGTCTCGCCTTCTACTCGAGCTCGGGTGCCCGAGACGCCCCAGGTGCGTCCCTGCCCACATCATGGCATCCTGCCGCCAATTGTCCTCGATCGGGGAGGGCACTGCCGTCGACGACGTCAGCTGAGAACTCGTCGGTATTGGTTCTCGCGTCTTCCTGCTGTCGTAGAAGGCCGGAGCAAGGCATGGGCCGCCAGGGCACAAGTAGCTGGTCCTTATGCGCCTCGTAGTGGTCGTGGGCGGACTGGAATGCCTTGATGGCTCAAGCAAGGCCCAGCTCGCGGACCATCTCGTGACCGTCGAATGGTCGAGGGCGTTGGTATCTATGGGTACCACCGTGTCGTGGAGCTTGGTCTGAACGGAGCTCACAAATTCGACGATGCCTCAGGTGGCGAAATCCTCGGTGATCGCTGCATCCACGTCTATCGACGACCAAGGGAATCCCTAACCCTCCCGTACGGCGCACATGCTGAAGATGGGTTCGCTCTGATCGTCGCTTTCCTAGACATCCTCGGGCGAGTCCGTCTTGGGAGGCTCAGCCCAGTGCCCGCGGAGCTCAACTTGCGGCCATCGCCGTGGGTCAGCTGGTGGCCCTGGCAGCAAAGCCGGTGGTCATAATAGCCCTGCTTGTGGCCATCGTAGCTCAGGTGATAGTCCTTGAAGCACAGCTCGGGTTCCTCGTGGCTCAGTTGGTGGCTGTCGTAGTTCAGCTTGTGGCTCCCGGAACTCTGCTCGCCCCGTTTTCCTAGCCAAGCTCGTGGCCATCGTAGATCAACTGTTGGTCTTCGTAGCCCTTGCTGGTGGACATCGTA